GGAAGAAAATCCTTTTTGGTCTGGGAGTTCAGATTATTATAATGGAGATACTCACTATTCTTTTTTGAGATATTAAATAACCATTTTCACCCACCAAGGAAGCCAGATCCAAAATTACAAAAGCTCCAGTGCTAATAAATACATTATTTTAKATCTGCATTACCTACTTTTTCCAGTTAAGATTTTCAGCCTCATTAAAGTTAAACCATTTGTCTGAGCAAAGTTCTAGGACAAATTCACAACGAGATTATCACCAGTGAAAAAAAGCTGCCTTGAGCCTTAAGCTGTGATACAGATACTTCAAGAATCAAAAAACTCTGAACAGAGAACAGAAACWGATTTTAAAGCAGGAAAGGACTTATGTACCAAGGCTGTGGTGCTTTCAGGGGCTGACAGGCAAAAAAGCCCCTCTCATTGGAAAATGTTTGTGTAAAAATACCATTCAAAAGCTTTCAATTCCYGAGTGCATAAGGAGGAAAAAGTGATGCCATATCCAGCTATGAACTGAGTCCCTCAAATTTTATAATATAAATTGTCAAATCTTACTGGGAGCATGTGAGAAGTGTTATGAGAGCACTGCCAGCATTTTCAGTATTCTTCCAACACAGAATGTCTTTTGAGTCAACTCAGTGGTTCAGACAAAGGCTTTTAGCTCCATTCACACCTTCCCTTTCCTGCCTTGTGCCCTCCTGTGCTCAGCTTCAGGGAGAAGTGGCACCCTGGACTCTCACCCCACAGGACTCTGCACTTGGCAAAATTAAGATGCAATTCAATTGTCATCACTGCAATGACCCATGTTGGRAAATGCAGATTCAAAAATCACGTTAAAAATTGAGAGAATAAACCTCGATGTTAAGACGTGCAGAAACATACCTTCAGGGTATTTCTAATTAATAGAAAAGTATAAAATTTTAAACTATAAAGTATAAACTTGGTTTAGTATAAACCAAGATTTAAAGATGGCACGGCCATTGAATACATGAGCTATTCGTATTGATGTGGATGGGATCTGAACGGCCACATTTAACATCAAAGAGTAAAAGCCATTTTATCACATCTTCTGAAAACTTTTAAGGAAATAATAACCAGACTGATTATCATCAATATATGAAGTTATTAGAGCATCTGTTCTTACCTGTCCAAAATAAACAAAGAACACATGTAGCATMAGGGTAACAAAACTCAAGGGTATCAGACTGCTCTTTTTTTCAAAATTGGGTACTTAAAGATGGAATATACTGTCAACAGTATAAACAGAAGAGGGAAAAAAGCAGCTGAGTGGTCAATCATGCCTGCAGTACCCATGTGAATGGCTTCATACCATGGATTCTATTCTTTGTGCAGGAACACTTGGATTCAACTGTGCAATAAATCTCCTTCTGAAGCAGATCTGTGCAAACAGCAGCAGCCACAACAACAAAACAACAGCAGCAACAACAATAACAATAACAAAGAACAACAACCACAATAATAATGAATTTATGCTGCCCTGTAATATTCCCACCTGTGAAATTCAAGGCAATCAGAATGATTAACTCAGTGTAACATGAGAAACTGAGGCAACAGTGATCAGAACCAACACCAGAGTTGTTCCTGGGCCCAAGTGCTACAGACACTGTAAGAAAGCATTGCAAGATTTTTTTTGTTCCCACACTTGTTAAACATATAGAAAGCTTAAATGCAATTAATTAATTCATAGTGTTGCAGAACAATKTTTTGGGCTGCCAGAATAATCACAATTGCAACAACTTCTAATCATATTCTTTTTCTCATACACTAATATATATACTTTCAATATCACAAAATACACAGTGCAAGAAAGCTGAATTATTCTATCAGGGAAAATTCAACTCGAGGTATTTGGTTATTCCTGAATGCTTGATGTCACCACCACAAATCACAGTAGCACTGTTTCTGAAGTACTTAACTAGAACAGTATATGGAATGCAGCACACTGCCTCCAGTTCCACTTTATTCATTTGCTGCTGAAAGAGTTCTTTAAAATATTTACATGGTAATTAATAACAAATAATTCTGTGAATTGCATGCAGGAGAAAATATTGCTAGTTGTTAGTTTGCTGAGCAAGTATGATTACACACATTTTTCAAATTCCTTCATTGTTTCTCACCCTTTTTGTTGCATTAGCAATATGTTGATGTGATGAAATATAGAGCAGTGAACTAACAGACTGAGAAGTCTGCCAAACACCAGCTTTGCCTCTGGCCAGAGTATTCTGTACACCTGCAGTCCTGAAAGCACTGGAAAGGTTTCTAATTTCATGTTTTGAGAAGAAAAATAAAATGCTCTCAAGGAGTTAGAAGACCTTGCCTTTTGGCCAACTGCACTTACATTTTTGGCACCATATCCAAAAAGTGAAAAGAGACAATTGGGAAATTTTCTCACAGTATCCAAGTTCAGGAAGAATCAGTAACATAGCAGTGTCTTCTGCTCTTACTAAAATCTCCTGAGATGTTCTAAAAATGGACTTTTAGCTAATTATTTCATGAAGGATTGCATCACTGTACAAATTCATCTAAAAATAGCTGCTCAAAAGGAATCTTGGCCAGGRTGATTATACACATTATGTAATCACTCAGCCAAGCCCACATGGTGATTTTGTTTAATACTGTATTCCTGAAATGTTTTTTAAAGCCTACTACAAAGTTCTATAGCTCTCACAATGCAGCAATTGGTGCATGAWTCAAGGCAATTCCAGTGGTTTTGTTTTGTTTTGCTGGGAGTGCATTACTACGCATCCCATTTATTTAAAGCACTAAACAATAAATATGTAACTGACAGATTGCAGCTGCTAAATTGTATTTAAATCATTACAATTAAATATGTTTGTTTCTTGTGAAAATGTGTTTGCAACACAAAGGTCAGCATTATTACTACTAACTTTACAGCTAAATACACTGTGCTACAAATAATTTCTCTAGGTTATCTAGGTTTTKTCATAAAAACAATTATTCCAGCTTAAAAATAACAGAACTTTAACTCACACATAAAAAGATGGCTCAACTCATTCATACAAATAGCATTTCAATTTTAAAATACTATGTGCCTATCTGTAGCTTTATTAAAATAAATCACAAATATTCTCATTTCCCAACAAAGACAGGATATTTAATTTCTTTAAAATACCTCTTTCGCAGTTTGAAATATTTTGACAATTTACTTTAAAATCAATGTCTTAATAGCAGTTTAAAATGTGTTTGACATTCCCAAAGGCCAGAAAATGAGATGAATATAGATACATGAGAGGAATGCAGATTTTTATTGTGGATCAATATATTTTGCCTCTTGAAGCAAAAATTCATCCTATAGTATAGAACAGGGATGGGTTTAGGGCTTTATTTTAATGTTTAGCATTATCTAATGAGTCATCTGCTAATATTTATAAATATTTCTCCTTTGATGACCACATTAGGCTGAAGCTTTCTTGAATTCCCTCTTTCAGAAGGGTAACAGCGGTGGAAGTGGAGGATGGGACAAACAAAGCCAGAAGGAAAAAGAGTGATGCTGCAGCTGATCCTTCACTGAAGTTCAGGGGAATCAGAAACAGATTGAGAGACAGAATCTCTCAGGGAAACTGAGGCACAGGGGGGATTCATCCTGAGACACAGGTGGGACCTGTCCCTGTCTCAGCCCAGCACAATCCGAGCTCCCCTTTGTGGGGATGCACAGAGGAACCTTTGGRGGCTGACAGTGGTTCTTCCCAAAAAGATGAAAGAAGTTATGAGTGAAGCCTACAACCTCCATTATCAGATAATTCTCAAGTGTAATAAAGTGGTGACCCAGTTAAACCACATTCCTGTTCCTGGTGACTCTTTTTTTGTGGTGTCTGAGATAACAGGGAGATTATYTTGGCATCAATTTAATCTAGTTAAATAGCTTTACTGAAGATCTTTATCACTATAAATAATGGAGGTATTTGAAGTATTTGGTTACAATTCTAACTGAAGTTATCCAACACAATGCTCATCTAGCAATCCTCTTCTGCTGTTCCTTTACTCTGTCTGAAGGAAGTTATGAATGTTTTGAATATTTTCCAGCAACACCTTAAAGATACAACACCAAACAAACACAAGCACAACAACAAAACATTTTCTCAGGTCTCTGATGAACATTTTAAAATATCGATGACAGGTATCATGGAACACAGCAAAGAGCTGGATTTGTTTTTTCTTCAGTAACCTAAGATGAAGGTTAAAAAAAAAAGACCCTAAAAGAAAAAAAAGAAAGTTTCCTAATAAAGAACATAACTACACTCTCTTTTCTAAAGCAAAACAAAAATACCTAAAATTATTTGCAACTCAACATCATCTCCTCTGGTGCAGCACAGTGGAATGAAGTGACAAAAATAATGAAGCACATCTTGCCTATTTATTATATAAATTTTGGGTGAATGTCTCCTGGCCTGCTGACTGACGTGAGACACAACTGCATCATGGCTGGAACATTTGCAATAATATCTATTTCTAGAGGGTTTTATAACTATGTGGTTTTTATTTAAACCTCAAATTACTTACAGTCTTGAAGACAGACCCATTTGAGAATTTATTTTAAGGATAATCACAATTTATAGATAACCTCTCAGAAAGCCTAAAACCTGAAATCCCAATTATTTTAAAACAGATAAGCAAATAACTGAACAGAAGGAGGTTAAAGGGAGTCAATAGAATGGACAAGATCTTGCTTTATGCAAAGAGCATCTGCTCTCCTCTCTCACAGAACTGAGAAGGTTGGAAACTGTATGAAGAGGGAAAACAAAATGTTTGGGCTGCATAGGATATGAGYCAAATAAACGTACAGCCAATCCTTAACAACTCCAGGGGAGCAGTGAACACCYCCAGGGAACACACCCCACCTTCTGCAGCTCCTTCACCCTCCAGACCTGGCTCAAACACTTCCAACAGGAGGTCAGAATAAAAYAGCACAAATGAAAATAATCCAGTTTTCTGTCGCCATGGAAGTATGAAAATGAATGTCTCCCCACCTGCTGTTTTAGCTGATGTACTAATCTGTCCTTCTCTCGTTTAAGAGCCATTACTTCATCTTGAGTCTTCTTTTTCTTTGAAGCAGACAGCTCAAGCAAGGCAATATTTGCATCTTTTTCACTAATTGCAGCAAGCAAAGCTTCCTGTCTGATAAAATAAAACAAAAATTGTTACATTCTCATTAAAACACAATATATATTGCTATATCCCACTATGTGCGATGTTTCTTTCAATCACTAGAACAACCACCTAYCTTTTGAACACTCTAAACAGCAAGCATAAGCAAATCATGAAATAAACTGATTAGTCAAAATTTCTCTTAATATACTTTTCATTACTTGCTTMATACAAATATTTATCTATTTTATTATGTGCTTCATATAATATTTATCTATTTTACTACAACAGTTGTGTGAAATGCTTTTAAAAAGCTTTGATTTTTTTTTCCAGTTCACTTTCCTTAATTTTAGAATACCTTACATAAATCTTATTCGACTTATCCAAATCAYAGAGATTGTACAACAGAAAGCAAAGTGATACAGATTTAAAAAAAAAAAAAAAATTATATTATCCTGTTAAGTTGGTACCTTAGAAACCTCAGTGCAGGAATCTCTGGGTATTTTTCTCATATTTACTCACATGTTTTCCTATGGATTTATTATTATTTATTATTTCTAGAGGTAAAATWAAAGTTTCCTGGTCTGATTGTTCATGAGAAATCATTTCCTTTGCAATCTTGACCCCTCAGTCTCCAGAGAACAAACAGAATCTCACAGCACTCAGATTTACACRGGATCACAGACACTCAGAGGGGCACACCATCAACAGCCAGGACATAAGACAAAGGCCATTTTTTACAACATGCACTTATAAGAATAGATATTGCARTATCTTATACCCTAAAATGCTCATGCTCTGGCAAGGCCCTAATCTGTCCTTTAATTTCATAGAGAAAATAAATATATTCACTTTCTCCAACGTATTCCGTGACAGACTATGACTTATCAGCCAAGAAAAAGCACATAATACCTAATAGCTTTTAGAAAAGAGTATGTTATGGCCTGTGCCTTTTCCCAGAACTATATAAGATCAATCATTAAAAAATAAACATGGATAAATGAATCATAAATTAACCTTAGGCTCCAACTGCTAATAAATGTAAGAATACGGCTCATGAACTTCATAGAGTCAAGGTGAGCTAAAAGTTTGRAATTCTCACAGTCCTTTGCTTGCCACAAAAATGTCAAGAAAGTTATTTCACTTTTATTTCCAAGTTCCTAATGTATTAATATAAATATTTATAGGACAATATTTCTGATGGAGTCAAAGAAAAACAACCCATTTATTTTAGTCAAAGTTATGTGACATGGATCAATTTTAGATAAACAGTTGCATTTTATTCATCCACTTTAATAGTCTCGTTTATTATTCTGTCTTCTTTGTTCAAATCTCAGTTAAATGATGTTTAAAAGAGAATGCCACAAGACTCCAACAGTCTTACTTTAAATTATAGCTATGAATTATTTTAAATAACGAATAATATATATATATATATATATATATCAGAGGGGTTGCAGATCCATAATGCTAATTTGAAATGAAATACAAGTATATTGTTTTCCTATAAACCTCACAATAATGCATACAAATTGCTGTGTAGTAACTGGTAAGAGTGTCAGTTTGTTCCTGTCTTGTGCTTAAATACAGTATCTATTCCAGAACATTTCYAACTGTAAAAAGCCAAACAGTAAAAGGTTTAGATTAACTTGAAAACTACATGAAGCTATACTGAAATTTTACTTCTCCTCTGAAGTTTGCATCATGCCACTGCCTCTGAATTGGCAGTAAAAACACAAACCTGACCAGTGCAGAAGAAGAGTCCGAACTACTGAATTATTTGGTATCATTTCAACATCTGATAATAGGATCCAGTCATATCCATATTTTTTGCACTGCCAGCCAAAATGATCACACATTTGTGATCATTGTGAACATTGTGATCGTAACTGCTCAGCTGTGCAACATTCTCCACTCCACTTTAAAGAAACAGTTGGGGTGAAACCTTCCACGGGAGAGCAGAGCCAGTCAACAAGCTTTGAAAAATCTGCACTCAGGATTCTGCAACCCCAAACCCACAGCATTTTGCAGATTCTAGCATGTATTTTCTCAGCTGATGGGGATTTTCCTATCTTGGGAAAATATATAACCAAACACTTAATTCCAGGAAATACTGACTCATATCAAACACTTCCAGGAAATGATGGTTCGCAGTCATGTTAAAGAGCTGCTGCCATATGACACCACAAGTGGGCCACTGAGACACTCCAAGATCTGAATCAAACCCAYAGCACATCTATGTTTGAGGTGGCCCCCCAAATTCACTGCCAGTGTATTTATCAAACCTTATCTTTGTAGTTATTTTAAGTGGAGCTGGGAGGATTTAAACCCGTGAATGCGGAGAGACGACGGCACAATGCGCGGGTGGGAATTTCTGCAGAATTTCCGCCACGGGGAATGATGGACACAGCAAATGCAAACCCACACTGCCAGTACTTGGAGCCACCCAAACATGAGCCAGGCTCTGTTTAGACACTGCAAAGCCTCCCTTAGGTGGCAGACACGGTGCTTTGGCTCGGGCACGGTGCCACACCGCGTGCTGGTGGCTCCCGGATGGAAGTGGCTCACACAGCCTGCACAGGCACAGCAGGCTGGCACCTGGCTGCACACACACAATTCTGGATGTGTCAGCATCTTATCCCTGTTTATTATCACAGGTAATCTGAGCAGCAATAACCTCATCTGCAGGTGGCATTTAACCAGGCACCCAGGTTAACAGGAGGTTGGCAATCAGGACTGTGCATTCCACCAAATGACACATCCTTGTCAACCAACTGCCTCTGTACAGAGGGAGAACAGAGAAGCCCAGCAGATTTCATTATTGTTTCTCAGAGTAAAAAATAAAGATGCAGGTTGTGACAGAGCCCCTGAGGAAACTTCCTCCTTTACTGCTGCCTGGGATCCAGCTCCCTCTCAGTCCCTGCAGACAGAGGTGAAAGAACACCGTACCTACACTTGTAAGGCACTGGAAGTGARGGGATCCAAACATTTATGGAGCTGCCTCTCAGCACAGGTCGGGATCTCTACATTATCATATCCTATTTATTACACATTGCACACTAGTTCATCCACATTTGTGAAAGTTTCTGTGCTAGCCTGTCATCATTCTTCAAATTTCCTATGGAAGAACAAAACCTCGTGGACAGAAGCAATTTATTTTAGCTAACCAGTGACCATGATAAAAAACTAACACGTGTTTTTGCAGCAAACTTTTGAAATGAGATTATGTGGCCTCTAAGAACACAGTTAGGATGCCAGCAAAGTAGCTGGCAATAATGGTTTCCACACCTGAGGTAAACTTCATTCAAAAATGTAAACTGGTGGCAAGGCTTTCATTGAAATCTTTCAGGTAAGCCATACACGTCTACTTTGCTGCTAGAAAATGAAACCCATCATGGTTTTCAGTGCAAGAATTTTGGAAGATCAAGACCTGAACTGGCACCAAGAACAACATACAGCCTGATATACTCTCAGCTAACGTGCCTGAGAGTGTAAGCATAATTTATAATTCCTAATTATCTACTGTGTCAGGAAAAAAAATKACTATCCAAATACAGTTCTACAGAGATGTTATCACTATTTGCAGCCAAAATGTCTCCTTATTGTTTAATAAATTATAGCAATAAAATACATTTTAAAATAATTTATTAGAGCAGTGGATTAAATGACATTCTTTAACAGTAATATTTATAAAGAGTAATCCCTTTTGTTATTAGTAGTTTTTCCTCTCTTTTTTTGGCAAACTAATCTGTTGTACAAATAACAGAGTAGTACTTTTAACACCAAAAAAAAAAATCACTCTGTTCACAGTAAAAGTAAGAAAAGTCTCAGATTAAAAAATACATATTAAACCTTAAAGCATATATTCCACACTGGTAATTATTGTATACATTTTCCTTTCACCTGCATAAATTCCTAGGATTTCCAACTTATCTATCTTCCACTATAATATATTGCTCATTGCAAAGAGAAGAGGGAAAACTTTTCCATGGAAAAGCAAAACTTATAAAATGAAATTCCTGCTCTCCTGGCAAAGGCTGACTKCAACAACCTACTACCCACAGCAAGCTCAGGCCATCTCCTGATCACAGAGACAGCGAATTCTGCAGTGTCTCAATAAGCACAATCACAGCTCAGGGACCTGGCCACAAGGTCCTTTTGCTTCCCCTAAGAAGTACCAAGAAAATTTGCACAAAAATCTTACCATCCTTAATGTCACTTCATATTAAATACAAAAGAATAGATTAAAGAAACACTCCCACCCTAACAGCCAGGAATTAATTTATTTACGCAAGTYATGTTCTATGCAAAACCATTCAGGATTCCAGTTTGTATAATGTTTTCATTAACTAATGAATGATGGACTAGAAAATCTATTTATTCAATTTCAAGGCTTCAGAATGAGAGGATTTTCAAATGCCACGAAGACAGGAATAAAATTGGTCTTTACAAATCAAAGACACTGTCTAGAACACCAAGGAGAAACTCCATATTAATGATCTGTTGTGAATAAAGCAAATATCATATTGAGAAGTAAAAACAAAAACACTGCAAGGCAGAAGTCTTTTGATCTACACAAAAGATCTTTGCTGAAATACTGAATCCAGTACTCTGAAAAACGTGGAAATAGAGAAATGATTGATGAGGAAACATTGGGAAAAACTACAATAAACAGTCTATGAGTGGCAATGTGACAATGAGAACATTAAATGCCACGTTCAGATTGAAACAGAACTTTTCTACATTCATGGCACACAGAAAAATAAATAATTTAATAATAAACTGCAGAAGCAGAAAATTTTTTTTCTCCTATCCAGCCAAGGTGTAATGATAACAACCTCACAACTCACAGATATTCAAATAAAAAGATTCCTCTCCTTGGAGGATTGATCAATTATTCATCTGATAATAAAGACAGCTTTTAAACAAACAAGAAGCATAAAATAACATAAACTTTTACTAAAGTCACTGGAAGTAGTGTTAAAAAATAAATCTGAATTGTTTTTAAAAAATTACCCTACATAGGATTA